ATCCTTTTCCTGGATGCCCCCCTTCCAGGCCTCCGCTCAGATTCTCCACACTACACTATGACTCTTTAGAAAGAACAGCACAACAATCTTTACAATTATAGAATAGTTAAGAACCCTTCACTCATATCCAAAGATTAATATCGTCATTAATCACACGGGTCCCAGCCAGGCAATAGTGGTGCATAATTTAATCCCAGCACTCGGAAGGCAGACACAGGTGGATCTTTGTGAGTTCACAGCTAGTCTGGTCTACAGAGCTCGTTCCTGGGTGGCCAGGGCTACATATAGAAACCCTGTCTCTAAAAAATGTCAAATAGGTCCTCATTCAAAACAGAACTTCTGTTTTCCCTCATCGCCTGCCTGTGTTTCCTCTTCCTTTTTCTCTTCCTAAGGCAGAAGGTGCATCACATGAGGCTATAGGCAGCTTAACTGGGGACATTTGCTTCCTTCAAGTCTGTTACTGAGGCGTTAAAAGAGGTGTGCAGTTTCTCATCTCAAAGCAAGCCACAGGACTCTTCAAGTTCCTTTAATCACCTGGAAGTTGTAAGAAGAGGCGAACACAAGCAGAATCTCAATGGCTCAGCCCACTTTGAGCAGGCTGTTTGCTGCCTTCCATCCTAATTGTGGGTTAAAAAGCCCGTGTTCCTTAGGACTCTGAAGGGCTTATGTGCTTGGAAAATGCTGTCCAGGGTGCCAGGATCTCCCATACAGAAGAGCACTGAGAATCTGATACTTTTGCACAGGGTTTCTGTATTTTCCTGAACTAAAGAGGACAGCTTGATAATCGGGGTGATGCATTCTCAGCCTCTCAACTCTCCCTTCTACAAGGACGCCGGTGGGACTCTAAAACCTTCTGTCAGAGTGAGCAGGCCTCACGGTAGGGATTGGATGTGATTTACTGAGCAGTCACGCCATGCGCAAACCATCAGCCAGCGTGACGTCTTAAAGAAATCAGACTAGTCATACCTGGGATAAGATGGCCCCACTCAGTGCTGCAGACTTTTGAAGTTGCTCCCACCGCTCGGACTTCTCCGGTAACAGACTGCCGCCACCCATGCTGTATCTGCCCTGCGTTCTGCGCTCCTGCGCTCTGCTCTCCCACCAGCAGCCTCTCTGGCAGCTACGGCAGCACAAATTTCAGGGAGAGGCTGTCTTCGTGACTTTCCTATTGCTGCGATAAAACACCACAATCGAAGCAGCTCATGACAGGAAGCATTTAACTGGGGGCTTGCTTCAAGTTTCAACGGGTGAGTCTGTGACCACCAGGGCGAGGAGCATGGTGGCAGGCGCGGTACTAGATCTGACCCATGAACACTAGGCAGAAAGAAAGAGCCAACTAGTATGGCGTGGGCATTGGAAACCACAAAGCTCACCCCCAGTGACACAACTCCTCCTGCAGGGCCACACCTCCTCATTCTCAAATACATAAACTTATGGGGGCCATTCTCATTCAAATCATCACAGAAAAAGAAATCAAGAGATCTTCGTTCCATCCTTCTTCCTGCTAGACACTTCTCCACAGTGAGACTCAGTCCTCAACCACACAGTGAAGACAGTGGGTGGTTAGGCAGACTGGAAGGTCTCCCACGGCCAGACAGGTCTGGTTCCTTCCATTTGCTTCCTTAGCTGGTTTGTCTGAGCTCTGTATTATATGCCGGCAGCTGTCATAAATACTTTACCTGTGCCATCACATATAAACTTTGGAGCAATCTCTTTAGGGGGTCGCCACAATCATCATACTAAAGTCGAAGACCAATCCTACACTTCAGTTCTATGTGCTATCTTCAGACAGCCATAACTTGGGCAGACGGAGTCAGCTAGAGAGTATAAGGGTACATACATCCACATACATCCACAGTCCCCTCGAATGACCTCTCTCGGAACTTACCACAAATCCTGGCGCGCAACATTAATCAAATTCACCAACACGAATCAAATATATAAATGAAAGAGCAAACTTAGTATCTTCCTTATAATGTCTATTAGGAAGGATGAGCAGTTACAAGGGCTTGCTTCCAGAGGACCAGAGTTCAGTCCCCAGCGACTTACAGCTGACTCTACTCTAGTTCCAGGGGACCCAATGTCCTCTTCTGGCCTCTACTCAGATTCATATACTCACATACAGACAAACAGAAAAACACATAACTAAAAAACAAAATGGGCAAGGTGTAGTACTGAATACCTTTTTGACCAAGCACTTGGGAAGCAAAGGCAGGCAGATCTCTGTGAGTTCAAGGCCAGCCTAGTTCCAGCTCAGCCAAGGCTACGTAGTGAGACCCTGTATTAACAATAAAAAACAATTTTTTCTTTTCAAATTGGAGTTGGGGAACGAGACCCTAGAACACACTCAGTATCTAAGTTTCAAAATCAGTACAGGCTAAGAGTTATAATATGAATTTCTAATTGGTCAAGATTACTCTTTTTTTTAAGATCACCTGCTTTTCAAAAATAAATATGTTCACATGATCAAAGACTTATAAAAATAAAACATCTGCTGTGGCTTCACTCTGAAAATTCTGGGTTGCATGAATTTCATTTTCTAATCCTGATCTATGTAATCAGGGAATATATTTTTGAGAGCCTGTATTTAACTGCAATCTTATTTTGAACCGTTTCACAAAACGTTAAAGATCTTGGTAACCGTCTCAGAAATCATGTTTTTATCAGACGAAATAGTATTTTCTGATAGGTTTTTTTTTCAAGCATCAAAGAGGAAAACATGTTCTCCATGAGGAAAAACATCAAGTGAACGCAAAAACTTATTAAAATCAGATAAAAGTGTCACTCTGTCCTTTCACGCATCCAAATAAGTCACAGAAGTGAAAAAAGACAACTATAATTCTACTACATCACAAAACTGAGGCAGGAGATCTCAATGATTTTAAGGCTAGCCTGGGTTACATAGTGTGTGTGAGACTAGCCTGGGCTCTAAAACACTGGTTTTGAACCTGTGGGTCACGCCTCCTTTGGGGTTGAATGACCCTTTCACAGGGGTTACCAATGAGCATCGGAAGTTATAGATATTTACACTAAGATTCATAACAGTAGCAAAATTACAATTATGAAGTAGCAACAGAAATACTTTTATGGTTGGTGGTCACCACAACATTAGGAACTGTATTTAAGAGTGGCAGCATTAGGCAGATTGAAAATCCCAAATGTTACCATTATCTATAAAACGTAAATCATGGTTCAAAATTCAAGGATTTACTGTTATGATTTCCCTTATCATTTTCATCTAGTAGAGCAGCATTAAGATGTTGTGGTATCTATATCCAGTCCAAAATTAGCCATTGTTGAATAAGCCTTTTGAAATAAGAGGAAGGGTTTTGAAAAGTGTCATGACCGTCATGGCTCTTGCACTGGCCTGACTGGGGCAATGGGACAGAAGAAACAGTAGACACCCATACAGAGAAACTGGGATCGGTGGGTCACACGTTCTGATGGAGGTGTGCCAGCACCCTGGGAACAGTCTCTGCGTTATTACAGCTGGAGGAAGGGATGGACTAGCTCATCTCTCTAGGGAGCATTCTCGGGCTGCAGTCGGGAGGGGGGGGGGAGCTGTGACTGACACTTTCTACACATCCTGTGGATATCTCCATGTGTCTGAGGCACTGGCATCCTTGAGACACCCATGTTCATGCCAACAATGCTCCATTGTACAAGGGTACATCCACTCTACACAGGACATCCAGACCTTGCTTCTAAGAATCCCTCTTCGATTTAAATAGATACTCATTTAATGATGAATATATATTCAACCATTAAAATAGTCAGCTCTAGTGCATCCAAACACACACCACAGCTTAACCTGGATGTCGTCCTATGAACTCAGTCCCTCACAATGCATTTCTCCATAGCTGTAACTAGCCCTTGCACATGGCTAAGAAACTCTAACATGGACTTTCTTCCTAGAAGATGTTCCAGAATGGATGTGTGTGAGCACACATATGCGTGTGTGTATACATGAACACATGGACATGTATGTGCTGGCACAGCTTAAATGTGTATTGTGTGTTCACATGTACACGTAGACATGTATGTACTGGTACAGCTTAAATGTGTGTGTATGTATACACATGTACATGTGGACATGTATGTGTGGGTACAAGTAAATGTGTGTCTGTGTGTGTGTCTGTGTATGTGTGTATGTCTGTGAAGGCCAGTGGTTTTCTGTAGTGGTCTCTGTCTTTTGTAAAAAGCTGTTTCCTCGATGAGGGGAAAGAACTACATTTATCTGTGGGTGTAAGGACAGATATTTAGAATGTAGCTAAGGGATCCTGCTGGTTAAGGAAAGCGGCAGCTGTAGTTTCTCCTCCAAGATCCATAACCTCACTAGCCCTGAACACCCCACTTTTTTACATAGGTTCTGGATACTCAGCCCCTAGTGCTTACAATCCGAACAATTTATTGAATGAGTCAAGTCCCTGTCTCCAATGAAGCACTTTGACCAATACATTAATTTGGTCTTAGGCTAAGAAAGACAGAATTTGGTTACTTGATACTCTTTCATATGTCTATCCCTTCACAAATATCTATTGAGTACTTCCTGTCACACCTGTGCCGGGTATTGTGGCCACTGTGATGAACAAAGCAGAGTCTCTAGTCTGGACCTACCAGAAACTGGCAGGAAGGAGGGAGCTAGTGCTCTGCTCAGGGACAGGCCGTCTACATAGACTGGTTAGTGTCAGGGTACAGAGAAAATTTCCCAAGAGAATTTATAGGCTTATGTCTGAAAGACTGGGTAAAAAAAATGGTACAGAGGAAAAAGTGGAGTTGGAGCTGGGGAATCTAGGAAGGTGAAGCATGTCACGTGGAGGATTGGAACGACGCATTCCCAAACCCACAAGTCGGCTGATGGAAAACAAGAAGAAATTTGTACCCATTGCTATATCTATGGCTCCCTCTGAGGTAGACAAGATAGTCATAATAACTCCTGTTAACCTGTATTGTATTTGGCCTCTGTATTTTCTGTAGCTTTTCAAACTAAATGCTTTTACCTTTTCCTGTTTCATCTGCATTCCCTTCCTCATGGTCACCTCTGCAGTCTGGCTCCACAGAAATCTCCAGCTGCTCTGAGTGTGTCCTCATCCCCTCTTTGAGGCCAGCAAGACAGAGAGGGGAGGCTGGGGTCTTCCATAGCAGTGCTTAAAAGTTCATCTGCCAGCTGCCCGAATTTCTCCAGCCCCCAGAATTCCACTGCTCTCCTGTTAGGAAGAAAAGGATTACGGGATTAATATCATAACACCACTTGCAGCCTTCCATATATAGTCAGAGGAAGTAGCTCACAGTGGTTTCTAGGACAACTTTTGGTGTTCAGGCTTGGTTCCCTGCTCAGACATCTGTCTGGAGTGAGGCAGCCGAGGTCTCAGCCATGGAGGTGCGGTCAAGGGGTATATTGTTACAGCTGAGAGCCTGGGGTTTTTACATGCCTTTTAGACATGCCACAGACAGCAACCACAGTGAGGGAGCAAGGCACAAAACAGCTGTTCAAGTTAGAAAGCCAGCAGTGTGGAGACACAGGAAGTGTGTCCCCTGTGGGTAGGGAGAAGCTTCCTTGAAGCAAGCCCAGTCACAGAGCAGATCAGCGGGAGCTTCTAACTCTGCCCCCAGCTAGCGCTGCTGCTCTTAACTGCACAGAGAAAACAAAGAAAGAGAATGTGTTTGTCCGAATCCTAGCTCTTTCAAGGTTCAACCACTCCGAGACCCCACCCCTAAAGCTTGCATCAGAGGGTGGAAGGCAACACTAGCCTGGCATCCCCAGGGCATCTGCAGAAGCACACACGTGTTCCCTCCAACCCTGACCCTCCCAGGGAAGCTGGGCCAACCGCCTAAAGGAAAACCCAAGATCTCTCTACCCATCTTTTGATCTTAAAGAGTGGAAATAAATATGACATTAAGATAAATACTTTGAAGCCAGGCAGTGGTGGCGCGCGCGCCTTTAATCTCAGCACTCGGGAGGCAGAGGCAGGCGGATCTCTGTGAGTTTGAGGCCAGCCTGGTCTACAAGAGCTAGTGCCAGGACAGGCACCAAAGCTACAGAGAAATCCTATCGGGTGATGCGGGGTGGGGGGGGGGGGGGGATAAATACTTTGAGATGTGATCTGGTAGGGAGGAATGACAATGGAGTTTGATTTGAGGTACACACTAATGATAGAATATGGTATTTGGGGAATATGGGTATTGGAGAAAAAAAGACTAGATTCAGAAGGCTGGGCACAGACTCCTGTTCCTGGAAACCATCACAAGTGGAAAGGAATTTGGGCTGGGTCTTTGAGTTTCTCTCAAGGGGAGGGAAGTCAGTAGACAATGGAGAAGAAGCAAGAGCTGTGAACCAAGAGCCCTTCAGTCCAACATGGTTCTAGGCCGCTGTTCCTGGTCTTTTTTAGGCTGCCACCCTTTAATACAGCCCCTCGTGGTGTGGTGACCCCTGACCATAGAATTATTTTCATTGCTACTTCATAACTGTAATTTCCCAATTGTTATGAATTGTAATGTAAAATCTTTTGGAGAGAGAGGTTTTCTGAAAGGGTTGGGACCCACAGGTTGAGAACCACTGTTCTAGATGGTCCAGCACAGAGATTTCAGGAAACAGGGGTTAGAGAAGACAGTGGGGCTATGAGGTGGTTCCACCTATAAATCACATCTACCTTGCAAGCATGAAGGCTTGAGTTTGGTCCCCAGAATCCATATAGGAGTGTGAGACGTGGCAGTATGTGCTTGTAAACCCAGGACTGGGACGGCAGAAAGCAAAGATCCCTGGTCCTCTTTCCCATACAAGTCTGGTCTGATTAGTGAGCTCTGGGCAACAAGCCTCTGCTCTCTCCAGCTCCCCAGCCCTGAGGATGCGGGGACATAGGTCATAGCTGGTGTAGGGGATTTAGACTCAGATCCTCATTCTTGTGTTATTATATATCCCTCCTGCATACAACTCATCTTCCCAGCCCTATGGATGCCTTCTTATTCAGAGGAGGGGAATAGTTTTCCTGTGGATGGCAGGAGAGGTTATTCTCTCACGCCCTTAGAATGGCTTCTAACAAGACAAAACAAAGAAAGAAAATAGCAAGTGTTGGCAAAGGGTAAAGAAGCTGTAGCTCTTGTTCACTGTTGAGGGCAGTGGTTCTCAACCTTCCTAATGCTGCAACCCTTAGATACAGTTCCTCATGTTGTGATGACCCCCTAAGCATAAAATTATTTTCATTGTTATTTCATAACTGTAATTTTGCCACTGTTATGAATTGTAATGTAAATATTTGTTTTCCAATGGTCTTAGGTGACCCCTGTGGAAGGATCATTCAACTCTCCCCTTCCAAAGGGGTCCGTGACCCACAGGTTGAGAACTGCTAGTTTAGGGAGTGTTAAAATAAGACCCCTACTGTGGAAAGTGGTGTAGTTGTCCACAAAAATATTGATATAGAACTACCATTTAATCCAGCAATTCCATTTCTGAGTATATATTCAAAGTCATTGGAAGAATCTCAACGAAATACAGCATTCTGACACCCACGCTTAGTACAGCACTATTCTAAACAGGCAAGGAGTAGAATCAGTGGTTAAATGCAAAATATGCTATACACATTTTATATACAATTTGTATATATTTATACAATGGAAGGGTATGTTGTCTTAGAAAGGGAAGGAAGGCATTCTATCATATAATAGGATCTGTTTGAACTCTGAGGACATTGCAATGGCTAAAAGAACCAGCTAAAAGTGAATAAATACTGCATTCTGCTTGTATGAGCCATCTAAAGTGAGAAGTTTGTAAATACAGAAAGCAGAACAGCAGATACCCTGGCTCAGGAGAAGAAATGAGGAGCGAGGGTCTAGTGAATGTCCCGTAAGAGGGAAACATTCCAGAGATTGATTTTTGCCCCAGTGTGGATGTACCTTATGGACTGGACTTCAAAATGATTCTTACGATAAATATTATGTCTTTATTAAAATAAGAAGGCATCCATAGGGCTGGGAAGATGAGTTGTATGCAGGAGGGACATGTAATAACACAAGAATGAGGATCTGAGTCTAAATCCCCAACACTGGCCATGACCTGTGTCCCCGCGTCCCCAGGGCTGGGGGGCTGGAGAGCAGAGGCTTGCTGGTCACTAGCCTGTTGCTAGGTTCAGCGAAAGAGCCTCTCTCAAGGGAGTATCTGGATAGTGACAGAGCAGAACACGAGACAACCTTCTCTGGTCTCTATGTGCATGGATGCACACACCCACCCACACAAACACATAAAGCATAGTCCATGTGGCAGGCAATTACAAACCAGCCTTCCTTGCACTTTATTATGAATTCACTTCTCAAATTAGCTTCATTCTCTGAAGGATAAATTGATGGGTCTTGACAAAGACGAGAAAGTGATGTTTAAGAAAAGGAGCCCTGTGGACAGACAGGCCCATGAAAACCTATCACTCACTAGCCCTCTAAGAAGATGCCTGGAAGCTAAGGTTGCTTCTGTGGCTGTGAAGGAGGGGTTGCCGGGAACACGGTAAGAATGAGGGTAAAGACGACAATAAATGGAACAAGCGCACCACGGTATACTTCATTCTTGCTGCTCTCCCTAAAGCCGTTATCCTTGGGTGACCTCAATAACTCACAGGCGGCGAGAGCAAGCAAAGGCTGCCCGGAGAAACACTAAGAATAATGCGACTTGAAGGGCGCCTTGGCAACCGCACCACAGCTGAGCTTCCAGAATCTCGGAGGCCAACTTCAGATTTCTGCCATGCTGCGATGCACCCCGCTGAACCTGGCAGGCCCAGCTGCCAGTTATTTTTAGGTGGGCTCCTCTTTCCGTGATTGACAGCAACTGTGAGGTGCGGAGGGAGAACGTGGCCTGGGAGTCGAACACAAGTTCCCATTTTTCAGGAGACATGACTGCTGGAGACAGGCGCCAGCACCTGCTCCCTGCCTCTCTGTGGAGGAGAATACAGTCTGTGGGCCTTTTGGGAGAAAATGGGTACAGACCTGGGCCGAAAAAGCACTGAGGACACAGCACTCAAGCGGTCTCTGCTAGCATGTTGGCGGCTCTGGGTAGTAACGTCTAGCTTACTTTGGCCTTGATGCTGCTCCCATAAGGTGATTCCCACCTGAAGGGCTCTCTCAGTATCCTGTCTGAGCCTGCCCTGGTGCTCACCTGACCGAAGGCAGGACTCTAAGTCTGGGACTGACCGTATATTTCTCCCCAGCCCACCTTGCACAATGGCCAGGCTTTCGTAGGATGTAGCTCCAACTCTGAGAGTCCACAGAAGGGAGCTGGGAGCCACAGACAGATAGTAGATGACTCTACTCCGGAAATACAGCGGTACCTCTCTAAAGCACGTGCCTCCATCATTTGGGTAGGCAAAACAGGAGGCTTTACCTATGTCTGTTCTCATTCCGTCAACAACTCTGACTACAAACTCTGTTCCTGAGAAGACTGTAAACATTGCTTATGCATTCTTGATAGTTTGCATGCAGAGGTCCAGGGCTCCTACCTCGCTCCAAGGTGGGGGCTCCCCTCTGACTGTCAGAGCAACCTACATTGGCTATAGCTCAGACACCACTTGTCACAGTCTCAACTTATTTGGCAAGGCCAGAAACCTTGGTGATGAGGACCACCGATGATAGAATCCCAGCTTCCTGAGGGTGTGTTTGTGTGTGCATCCATCTGTCTGTCCATCTCTCTCTCTCTCCTTCCCAATCACTAGAAAACATTAATCTTTCATTACATCCTTATGGCCTCCCTAGAGCACAATCCTCCACTACCCCCATGCTGGAAACCCTTCGCTCATCTAGAATGGAAGCACGAAACCTTGGTTCATTCAAGCTGTTTCTGTTTTCAACCTTAGTTTGGCCAACAGTAGCAGTCAAGATATCCACTTGAAATACAGCTCAAGAAAGTAAGACATGGACGGACCACAGCAAGCAAAGCCTGCCTGGACCAGCAGCCAGCTCTGTGCCTTGTTAGCAAGGGCCCTTTCCGTAGCACCATAAAAAAAAAAAAAGGCAGGATGGAGAGCATTCATCAGACGCTGGCTGGAGGTTCAACAGGCAAGAAATCGAAAGCTCACTTGTGTTTTACTATCAACAATGGAAAAATTGAATCAAACTAGTTAGTGGTGGGCTGGTAGCCAGCACTGACTCGATTAGATCTTCATTCTTGTGGTTTTTCAGGCGGTGCCATCTAGGGAGAGCTTGGATGTGGAAAAGAAGCAGAGCTGGCAAA